CAAAACAATAATTGTACATAATTCTGACATCAGAAATGGCAACATTCAGGGTAGTCAATCAATGAACTTAAAGCAGCTACCCCTTTCAAAAGAATTTTGAATCTAGCAAAAACCTGCTTGAATTTATACTTACTAAAAAGTTGCGATACATCATTTGCATCAAATAAAAATATTTTTAATCCCCTCGCATATATTAACTATCAGGGCCTGGAAATGTATTAATGATGAATGATCACTGTAATTTAAAACATATATTTACTTTTATTTTAATTGTTCCTGTTTATGTTTTCTCCATTATACAGTAGTTAGTTCTCGCACTTTTAACACTTACATGAATCTTCCATCTACATAGAAGTTTGTTTGTATATATATGTAAATATACATTTTGCATTGCAGAATATTCAATAGTTTTTAAGACATCAAAAATCTCTGCTGGGAAGATTTATCTGGGACTACAAGTTTGAGCCTTGGGGCATAGGCTCCTCCAGCAATTTTGTTACTACAGCCCTGCAGGAGATCAACCCTGACTGCTCTTTAGAACAGGGCTTTTCAACCAGTGGTATGGGTACCACCTGTGGTACATTGGCACCTGGCAGGTGGTACACAACCATCCTAGAAAAGTGGTAGCGGGGAAGGGGAATGAGAGCGCCGCCGGGCGGGCAGGCAGGTGTCTTGCTCGGCTGTGCCTTGGGGGGCATTTTTTTCAGTGCCATTGTAACTTCGAACAGTCACTAAGCGAACTGTTGTAAGTCGAGGACTACCTGTACTTTAACACTTTTTTCCTTTTTTTTTGGTCAAGTTTTTGACACCTTGCTAGGCGACTGGTGGTACTCGGATATTGCCATATCCTAAAAGTGGTACAATGGGTGAAAAGGTTGAAAAGCCCTGCTTTAGAAGGCCAGATCCTGAAGCTGAAACTCAAGTACTTTGGCCACCTAATGAGAAGGAAGGACTCACTGGAGAAGAGCCTAATGCTGGGAAAGATTGAGGGCAACAGAAGAAGGGGACAACAGAGAATGAGGTGGCTGGATGGAGTCACTGAAGCAGTAGGCGTGAGCTTAAGTGGACTCCAGAAGATGGTAGAGGACAGGAAGGCCTGGAGGAACGTTGTCCATGGGATTGTGATGGGTCAGACACGACTTCACAACTAAAAACAACAAAGAGATATCTGCCAAAGCCAGGTAGATGCAAATGAAACAAGAGTTACTTCACATCTTACATAGTAGCTGCATTAGTTAAACAGGAACTGGATTTGGCCCAAGAATCGGAACCAGCCTTCCAGCTTTACTTGACCCAGCTAGATAGGTGACATCAAAATCAGAGTGGAACTTAATTGATATCACTCTTTTGAAATAGATCGATATCCATATTAGCTGCTAACCATGGTAATTCTAGTTGGGTACCAGGGTGAAATTGATGCCATATGTCCAAAGCATGCCCAGAGGCTAGAATTAATGAAGGGATAAAAAAAAATCCATTCACTGGAATGAAACCTACCTACATTCTCATATCAGTATTGCCTTTTAAAGGAAAACAAAAATTTGACTGCATCCTGTTTTGCAAGCAAATGAATGCATTTCTGTTACAATCTGTCATGCATAATTGAGTAATGCAGTAAGGCTAGGATTTCCATCCATTAAGATCCATTTCACAAACTACCCCCCTTTCCTTTCTCTCTAGACCTGACTAATTGTTCATTGATTTCAACCATCAGGTTGGTTTCCACTGTATCAAATTAGAACAGAAGCTGTTCCACAGGCCAAACTGAATTAAAACATAGCAATAATAAGATGTAAAATCTGCAAGAAATTGGTTGTTCTCTAACGGAAGGGCCAAAGCATCCCGAATAACTATCAAATCCAACCAGAGGCACAGGGCTGCCCCTCCCCTATTCATAGCCTGAGGGGTGGTTTCTTTGCCGAATTCTCTTACATGCCTTTTGCCTTCCCGAGCTTAAGCTTTCCTTTCCTCATTTTCACACTGGAAAAAAACGATAACATCCTCATTCCAAGAGCTGTGTTGTTCTGAGTGAATGTAATGCGAAGCCTGAAAATGTGATTTCTTCCTGCCTTTGTGCAAGGCTTTAAGTGCATTCAGAGGTTGAGTTTACTTGAGTGCACCCTGGCAGACTCCAGGAAAGGTCAGCGTGGTTCTCCAATCATCAGCCTGCACGCCCATCCCTCCTCCCCGCTCCCTCTGGGGGCATGAATATAATATTGCACTACCCTGCAGTTACAATTAACCCCTGAGGAACCTTAATCACGCATTGAGCCTGAGTTGGCTACCCTGTACATGTCAGCCTGGCCTACCCCTATCTTCGGAAGGAAACGGGGCTTGCCTTTTCCCAGCCATTCCCCCCTAATAATCTCATGGCAGGAAGAAAAAGGAGGCAGTTAACTAGGATGTGGAGACGGCCATGAATAATGCAAGACTCCCTAGACACAGCTGGGTAACTAAGGCTGTGAGATATAGATGCAGCCTTCTCTCCTCTTTCTCCTTCTAGAGGACCTCCTTGCACATGCTTTCTTTCAGTCACCCTAGGATTTTGTTTTATTTTTTTTTAAGCATCATTAGGGATAAGTTTTAAAACGTGCCGCTTATTTTTTTTTAAAAAGTGACATTTCCACCCGCATTCTATAAAACATCTCAAAGTGGCTAAGAACAACCGAGCATGCCAATTAAAAATGCAACAGCATTTAAACTCTTACATACTATTAGGCGCCACGGACACTTCCAGTGTTGGAGCAGTCACTACCTGAAGAATGCAAATGCTGGTCTCATCCTCCACCCTAGCCCAATGTTTAAAGAAAAAGCTAGGTCTTAATAGCCTTCTGGAAGGGAAGCAGGACATGAGTTCTCTACATCACGGGTGTCAAACTCGTGTCGCGACGTATCGTGACTTTTTTTTTGCGTTGCTGGAGCTGGGGTGGACACGGCCTCGGTATGATGCAACCGGCCCATGGGCCGGTAGTTTGACACCCCCCTGCTCTACATCTTGGGACCGCAATGGAGTGGTGGCCTTATAGGAAAGAACTGGAAGACCTCAGGCTATTAGAATCCTATTCTTGGTCTTGTATACATTTTCCTTGACTGCATTTGGCTATTGGTGTAAACCCTTCCGACTTAATGTAAGAAATGGTTGTAACAGCTATTTCCAAAGTAGGGCAATTTTATAGAGCTGTATGTATTTACATAAATGCAGTGCTCGTATCTTGTAAAGATAATATAAAGTTCTAACAGCATTCCCTTCCCCGCCCCCGATAATTTGTCGGTATTTACAAGACGTGGTATGTAAATCTATTTTCTAAATAGATTTTGGAAAAAATGGACCAGACAAACCCACAAATGATTATTTTGCATGTAACGCGAAATAGAATCAGATGAATAGTGAGAGTGAGCAGAGAGGACAAAGAAAAAATGATAGTCAAGACATAAATGTTGACATGACACGGTAATCAGACTCATCACGTTATTTAATGAAAAAGGGCTAGTTCAATGAAATCTAAGCAAGAAGCCAAACCTTGCTTATGAGATAGTTGAGGCGTGGGCTAAATCTGCTAAGAAACCTAATGGTGGAAACTGTTTCCTTCTTGCAGTAAAGAGGAGTGATAATTCAAGCATTTGGCTCACTGGCTGAATCCATTCAGTCATCTGTGGGGGGGGGGGGCTAATCAAATTATCTTGCTTTTTTGGAAGATAAGATAAAATGAAAGACAATGGCTTTTGAAAAATGTAGCTGATACAGAAGCTTTAGATACATTTGGCAGATATATCCAGCACTTCATTCTTAGAAGGAAATGCACTGGAGCTATAAATGTGCCTAGAAATTATGTTCTGTGTTCCAAGAACCTTTGCTCCTTAGGGAGAAGAAACTGTCCAAGTTGAGACATTATCTTCATTATGAATTTATGTTTTGGGGCCGAGCCTTTCTATTTAAGGAATTTAATGCAATGCATTAAGCTCAGAACTGTTCAGCCAAACTCCCAAACACATTGAATAAGTGGCAATAAATGTGCAGAATATGATCGTGGGAATACATTGCATTAATTGCCTTGAAGAGAAAAAGCAGGTCGTAAATGGTTTTAAATTGATAAATCCTTTCATGCCACCCAAATACTACAGGTCTCTGTGTGCGTGTATGTGTGTGTGCGTGTGTGTATTTGTGTCTGTGTGTGTGTGTGTGTGTGTGTGTGTGTGTGTGTGTGTGTGAGAGAGAGAGAGAGAGAGAGAGAGAGAGAGAGAGAGAGAGAGAGAGAGATAACATCTAAGAACAAATGGCAAGGTTTCAAATCTATATCAAGGCTTCTTCCCATCCAGACAAAGAATATTTAATTATATATATCTGCCTGATATCCATATGAAACTGTGATCACCTTCATGTTACTGGCTAGTCCAGTGGCAAAATAGGGAAACATAATCCAAAATGGCAATTTTAGCTCAAAAACACTTGTTAATATTTTTTTCCCCTCAGAGTAATTATTTTTGCCTTTTCCCAAGTTCCAATTATCTTGTAGGCAGAGAAAGCTGCAGTCAAACTCCCAGTTTCATCACTTGTTGCTAACTTATGCTTCCTCTCTAGCTCAAAAGCCAGAGGATCATTATAACTTTCTGAGTGTCCATATTTGGTTTAACTATATTGCTATTGCATGAAAAGAAACAGAGAAATGAAGCAGGAAGCATCTCCATTCTCTGTGCAGCAGGCAGGTTTAACTTATCAATTTACATCCTTTCTCCCTTCCTTTGTATGCACTTTAATCTAATTTAGACTGAAAACTCTTCAGGGCAGGAACCTGGCTCTGTCTAATATATTACGAAATGAGTCTGCCATGAGATAACAGGAAGCAATCAAATCTTGCTTTTTGGTTCCCACTGAACTATTATACCCTAAAGGAAACTAGGAAAAAATAAATAAAAGATCTGCTAACATAATTATCGAAGTCGCTTTACTTGCTTTCTCCTATCTCTGGCTTCCCTAGATTTAGCAAAAGCAAACAAGCTGTTTAATCTTTATAATTCAAGGAAATCCAACTTCGATACAATATATTGAAAAAATGAAAATCATCTTTACCTGTGACAGTCACCAACATGGAGGCCACCAAGGGACGATTGTTGTCCAGTTTACGGCTCAGTCTGAGTTCCCCACTAGTCTGATTGACAATTAACAAGTGCAGCTCATTTCCTCGTTCAAAGGTGTAAAACAGTCTGTCAGACACATCTGGGTCATAGGCAGGGATCTTCCCTATTACACCGGAAGGAAAGGTGTTGGATTTGTTGGAGATATAATTGTTAAAGAGGATCTGGAAATTTTTCAGAATGGGACTGTTATCATTCTGGTCAATGAGTTTGATGTGGACTGTAGCTCTGCTGACAAGAGGGGCAGAAGTGGCATGAACCACAATGACAAACTCGGGCTTGGTCTCATAATCCAAATCAATGAGGGCAGTGAGCTCACCCGAAAATATGTCCATCTGGAAGATCTCAGGGATATTGCCTTCCACAATTTGGTACATAATCTGGGCATTGGGTCCTTCATCTGGATCCAGGGCTGTGATCTGGGCCACGACAGAGCCCACAATGCTGTTTTCCTTCACAAAGATTTCAAACTCCTCGGCTGGAAAGACCGGAGCGTTGTCATTAATATCTTGCACCGACACTTGAATACGGACAGGGGTTCTTTGGGGGGGCATTCCCCTGTCCACAGCATAGGCAGTAAGTTCGTAAACAGGAATGCTTTCTCGGTCCAACCTGCGGATGGTTCGAATAATCCCAGAGGTGGGCTCGATAATGAAATCCCCATCCCCGTCCTCTCCATTCTGGAACGTGTACTGCACCCGTCCATTGGCGTGGGCATCCCTGTCGGTGGCAGAGATCTGAAGCACACTTGTGAAGGGAGGGCTGTCCTCCGAGATGACACCTTGGTAGTGAGCACTCACAAACTGAGGGGCATTATCATTGACATCATTCACCATGATTTCCACATAGGTTGTGTCTGCTTTCTGGGGGATCCCATTATCTTTTGCTGTAATGGCCAGTGTGTAGGTAACCTGGTCCTCATAATCCAGCTCTGCCTGCAGGGTGATGGCACCGGTGTTTGCATCAATCCGAAACTGGGGAATGTTGTCTTCCAAGTAGTAGGTAATCCTGGCATTTTCTCCAACATCATCATCTGTGGCACTGATGACTACCACCGTGCTACCAATTGGACGGTCCTCATTAACACTGACTGAATAATGGGCGCTCTGGAACACTGGCCTGTGAGTGTTGGCGTCTGTAATGTTGATATGAACATGGCAGTTGTCATGCAGGGTCCTATCGGAGGCTGTCACTGTTAACACAAACCGCCTCTCTTGTTTGTAATCCAGGGGCAAAGAAAGGGTGATTAATCCCACTCCTCCTTGAGTGCTGATAGCAAAACGGTTCCGTGTATTCCCACCTGTTATCTGATAGCTGATGGCACTATTCACATCCCGGTCAATTGCTGTTACACTAAGAACACTAGTCCCCATAGCAGCATCTTCATTGAGGCGAATTAAATATTCTTTCTGGGTAAATTCGGGCCGGTTATCATTTACATCCATGACAGTGATGGTGACACTAGCAGATGCAGATAAAGAGGGAGAGCCGTGGTCCCGGGCTTCTACCCCAAAAAAGTAGTGCTGCACAGTCTCTCGATCCAAAGGGCCACTCACAGTAATCCAGCCCGTGGCACTGTTCACTACAAAGGGCGTATCAGAAGAGATGCCAGCGAGCTTGTACTCGATGCGCGAGTTCTCTCCATAATCTGCATCCACCGCCTGGATGTGTATTACTGAATGGCCCAAAGGGGCATTTTCCAATACAGATATTTGAAAGGGGGTGCTGACAAAGATAGGAGCATGATCGTTAATGTCCACTACTTGGATGCTAACCATGCCTGTGTTATTGGACAAAGGAGGACGTCCTGCATCCTGGGCACGGATCCTCAAGGCATATTCTCGCTCAACTTCAAAATCCAAAGGAGCTACCACCTGTATTTCCCCAGTCACACTATCAATTGAAAATTGCCCCCTACTATTACCACTGATGATGTTATAATGAACTAAAGCATTGTTGTCTTTGTCTAAATCAGAGGCGGTAACTCTTAAAATTTCTGAATGGGGCCTTATATCTTCTCTTACCTGGACTATATACCGCTTTTCACTAAATTGTGGGACATTGTCATTTTCATCAAGAACTGTTATGTACACTCTAACTGTGGAGGATAGAGGGCCAGGCTCCTTACCTTGATCATTTGACTCCACCACCAAAGAATACTTCTCCATTTTCTCCCTATCTACTTGCCCACTTGTAGTGATCAGCCCTGACCGTGAATCTATCTCAAAGACAGAGTGAGCAGCTTGCTCATTTACAAATCGATATCTGATATGGGCATTGGGTGGAGAGTCTACATCGGTGGCCCTCAGCTGCAAAATGGGATAGCCTTCCTCTACGTTTTCCCGGATTGTCTCTCTGTACTCACTCTGCTCAAATACTGGATTATGATCATTTCTGTCTGCAACTGTGATCGCAACCATGGTGGTGGCAGAAAGACGGGGAATCCCATGATCCATAGCAGTCACTCGGAAGTAGTGTAGGTCCATATTTTCCCTGTCTAAAACTTCAGTGGTACTGATGAGGCCATTTTGGGAATCAATGCTGAACAGTTCCAGAGATCTGCTGTTCATCAGAGCATCCATGGAATAGACCAGCCGCCCAGCTTCCCCGGAATCAGAGTCTTGGGCTGCCACCGTTATCACTGGCGTGCCCGAAGGCTGGTTTTCAGCCACCTGGACTTGGTAATTATACTGAGGGAAGAGGGGGTGACGATTGGCTGCCCTCCGCACCCTCAGCAAGGGCAGGGGCGCCCCTTGTCTTCGTCTCCTTTTCTTGGCACACATGGAATAGGTTATCTCGCTCTGCATAGCTGGATGGGTGGGTTTTAGCGGCAGGGAGGGAAAGAATTCCGGGATCGACGACGGACTCCTAAAATTCACCTCAAAACAAAGAGTTTGCAAACAGCCTTTGGTAGAGTCAAATGGATGGAAAGAAAAGAGGAGATCGCGCCTTCTCCAGTCTACGTTCGGATTGGCTCCCAGAAAAGCACAGGGAGCTGTCCGAGCTGCTGAAACGGCCGAAGCAGCTCTCGCCCAGCCTTTTCTGGTCCAGGTACAAAGGCAGCATTGCTCTGGGCTGCTCCCACAGCACTCGCCGGCGCAGCAGCCGAGGGAAATTCCACGGGGCGCCGGTTGCCCCAGGCAGAGCTGAAGGCAGGTCAACAAGGCGAACCACCTGCAGAAAGGCGGACGGGCTCCCGGGCGGGAAAAGGAAGCCAGTCGCATAATCGGGAACCACGAAGGCATGGCGGGACTGCCGCCTTTTCTCCTAGCTCTGGTGGCGGAGCGGTCGGTGCCGTTCTGAAGGCGGCGAAATGGCTTCGCACACAGGTGGACCCGCTGGATACAGACTGCAGTCCCGTTCCAAGGGGTCGGGTCCCGGCGATTTTGGGAGGGAGACTTCATCCCACCGGACACCCCATTGTCCGGCTGGCTCGCCCCCCTCCTAGGGCGTGGATTGGAAGGGCTGGAGTAGACGCCCATCTGCGCGGAATCCACCCCAACCGCAGCGAGCCTCACGAGGCATGCCCAGGTAGTCCGCGCACGGCTTTCTCCGAGCCTCGCCGGACTCGGGGGATCCGGAAGAAGCGCGGAAGCGTTTATAATCCACGAGCCAGAGGGAGCGCTGCCTGGATCTCCCAGGGCGCTGCCAACCGGGCAGCGGATCGTCCTCCTTTCCCGAGGTGGGGTCAGGGATCCACCAGGAGAAAAGCTGCCCTTCTTCCCTTGCCCCGCCAGGGCTTGCGAGAGGGAGCCCGCGCAGCCCCGATCGTCCTCCTGGACACTGGCGGACGGCGAGCTTTCCTTCCGTTCCCCGAAGAGAGCGCAGCCCGGCCAACCACCGCTCGGCTTCTCCGGCTTCGCCCGGTGGACGCAGCCCAAGCCCCCTCTGCCCGCTGGCTTTCCCAAGCTGAAGCGAAACAAAGGGAGAAGCAGCAACAGCAGCAGCAGCTCCAGGCGGCGGTCCTGGCGAGGACGGCGCTGGTTTGGTCCCGGAGGCTGAGGCGGCGGTTCAGCCATGGTCCCTCGGCCCTTTCCCCGCCCCCCTGCCCGGCTGCCCTGGCCTGGCGCTGCTTCCCCGGCCCCGCCTCGCCTCGGGCTCTGCCGCCTTCCCAGGTTCGGTTGCCGCCACCATCTATCTGGACGCGGCGGCGCTGCTTTCTCCGGGGCTCTCACTGCTCGGTGGCAACAGCATCGCCTCCTCCCGCAGCCTCAACATGGCTCCCGGCTGCCCCGATGGTCCGTTCCGCCCTCCTACCCCCCTTCTTGTCGCCCTGCCGTGGTAGCGCCCACCCGTTTAGCGTAGACGGGTGAAGCCAACCCCTCCGCCATCTTCACTGTGGGCAGGTTGGGTCGGGAGGAAAGAGGCAGGGAGGGAAGAGGGTCGACCGTCTCGCTAAGACTGGCGAAGGGATGGGGATAGAAAGGCCGCCAAGATCCGGTTGGGATTACGGGAGGATCGCGTCTGGATTCAGTAGGGGCGTTCGACAGTGGAGGGAGCTGTCCAACGTGTTGATTTAGAACTCCGGGATCTAATCAGGGATGCCAAAGCAGCTGATGTCGAATCGGTAGAGGAAGGCTGTGCGATCATCCAGGAGGGCGTTTGGTCGCATGGGCGTGTCCTACCTAGAGAGCCTCTTCTACCCAGGCCTCTTAGGCAGGGCCCCTTCCAGCTGTGGTAGTAGCACAGGTACCAGAATCCGCAGCCAGCATGGTTGACTTAGTCCTCTGGAGTAAACCCAATGGAGCAACTCTGCTTTAGCGCTATTTATTCAGTTTATTTTGCACACATTGTCAGGCTAAAGAGAGTTCCCCTTTCTTTAATANTAGAGAGCCTCTTCTACCCAGGCCTCTTAGGCAGGGCCCCTTCCAGCTGTGGTAGTAGCACAGGTACCAGAATCCGCAGCCAGCATGGTTGACTTAGTCCTCTGGAGTAAACCCAATGGAGCAACTCTGCTTTAGCGCTATTTATTCAGTTTATTTTGCACACATTGTCAGGCTAAAGAGAGTTCCCCTTTCTTTAATATATACATGTGGGCAAAGGAGCTGAATTTTATACAGTAAATTAAATTAGTAAGGATTTATGGAAGAAAAGGGTTGAACTATGGGGTCCTTGGTGCTCTCTGAGCTTGGCTGTTTTCTTGCAGACGTTTTTATTACCCAACTAGGTAACATCATCAGTGCTCCTGTAAGGATTCAATTGAGAGGTTCTTACTCCTGTTTTCGAAGATATAATTTTTACCTTCTATAGGTGTTATAGTGCTAATTACTTGTTAGAAAACAATAACTATTATATCTTCTATTTGTTCAAATGCCTACATCTTTTTTTCAGTTTCCATATGAGCCTAAAAAAGGGATGATGATGAAGAAGATGATGATTCTAAGGGTTGCGCTGAAGAAGCACTGTTTTAATTATTTGTTTCATTAAAGCAAACATTTTTTTCTGCCTCACACAAAAGCTGGAAAAAATGACAGGCTACTGTAGTAGGAAAGGTGCAATGTCCACAGTTGGGCAAGGTCTAAAATATTTTTTTTGAAATAACATTCAATGCTTGCATAGTCTAATATGTTCTAAGGTGCTAATATTCTGACAGGAAACTTTAATTCAACAATTATAACCATACTCTTGGCTGGTACATCCTGCAAAGACAGCAAGTACTTCATTTGGTTCTGTTTTATTATGTGTTCTACTAGCAATAGTAATTCAGGTTCCAGGAGTTGATCAGGGAATCAGCATACTGAAAACAAAGTGCAATTTTATTTATTTTATTTTTTTATTTTACAAAATTTATATGCCGCCCTTCTCCCCATGGGACTCAGGGCGGCTCACAGCATGTTAAAACAATATACAGAATTACCCCTTCTAAAAACCAATTAAAATCCAAATATTAGTGGCTGTGACTATTTAAAATCATTAAAAATTATCCCTATTTAAAATTCACCCTAGGTCAGGCCCGCTTGTTGAAAANTAGAGAGCCTCTTCTACCCAGGCCTCTTAGGCAGGGCCCCTTCCAGCTGTGGTAGTAGCACAGGTACCAGAATCCGCAGCCAGCATGGTTGACTTAGTCCTCTGGAGTAAACCCAATGGAGCAACTCTGCTTTAGCGCTATTTATTCAGTTTATTTTGCACACATTGTCAGGCTAAAGAGAGTTCCCCTTTCTTTAATAGATACATGTGGGCAAAGGAGCTGAATTTTATACAGTAAATTAAATTAGTAAGGATTTATGGAAGAAAAGGGTTGAACTATGGGGTCCTTGGTGCTCTCTGAGCTTGGCTGTTTTCTTGCAGACGTTTTTATTACCCAACTAGGTAACATCATCAGTGCTCCTGTAAGGATTCAATTGAGAGGTTCTTACTCCTGTTTTCGAAGATATAATTTTTACCTTCTATAGGTGTTATAGTGCTAATTACTTGTTAGAAAACAATAACTATTATATCTTCTATTTGTTCAAATGCCTACATCTTTTTTTCAGTTTCCATACGAGCCTAAAAAAAGGGATGATGATGAAGAATATGATGATTCTAAGGGTTGCGCTGAAGAAGCACTGTTTTAATTATTTGTTTCATTAAAGCAAACATTTTTTTCTGCCTCACACAAAAGCTGGAAAAAATGACAGGCTACTGTAGTAGGAAAGGTGCAATGTCCACAGTTGGGCAAGGTCTAAAATATTTTTTTTGAAATAACATTCAATGCTTGCATAGTCTAATATGTTCTAAGGTGCTAATATTCTGACAGGAAACTTTAATTCAACAATTATAACCATACTCTTGGCTGGTACATCCTGCAAAGACAGCAAGTACTTCATTTGGTTCTGTTTTATTATGTGTTCTACTAGCAATAGTAATTCAGGTTCCAGGAGTTGATCAGGGAATCAGCATACTGAAAACAAAGTGCAATTGATATGATTCATTATTAATAATGTTGATTAAATGAAGCAACAGCACTAAGCACAGCATAAAACATGGAAAGAGTAGAGTAAGCAGCTTAATCTGATTTGGCTTGTTAGAAACCTCAAACATCCATTTCTCTTTGATAAGTTCTGCAGTTCTTAAGCTGTCTCTCCTCTAAAAACGCTCACTTTTTCAGGACCCTGGATACTGAGCTCACTCACAATATTTCTAAGGATATTAAGTGGTATTAGCTCACTCACAATTTACTATTGTGAGTGAGCTAATACCACTTAACATCCTTAGAAATATTGTGACACCTACTTTAAGCTGCAACTCTTCTAACAACATTAGGTTTCTCCAGACCTGCAAAATACAGATAAGGTTATAGCAGGCATGTGAGTGACACATAGAAGGCTGGCAAGAACACCTTTGCTTCTATCTTTGAATTAATCATATGTTTTTTTCTTTCTTTCTTGTTTGTTTGTTTTCAATATTAGGGCTATCTGCTGCAGGTTGAAAAAGTTTGAATGGCTACCACATGATAGCAAAGGAAGTTTTATCTCTTCAGAATTGTCATCTGGATTTTAGTAGCCCAGATCTGGCAGTCCTAGTAATATTCCTGTAATGATTTTTCTCTGTGGCTGGAAAAGAGGGAGGAACTGTGGAAAATATTGAAGGTTCACCACATGTAGAAATTCTTCCCTTATCTGGTACATCTCTAGCTGCATCACCTATTCATCAAAGAGAATGAAAAGAACTCCACCCATGTAAACTCAGAGATAAAGGGGACCCTAAAAATATTTAATTGTCAATGGTATTTATTTGTGTGTGTGGTGGTGGTGGGGAATCTAGTATTAAATGACATCTGAAAGATGTCAAGGATCCTCAAATTAGTCCAGAGGAGACAACAAGGCTGATGTTAAGGCAGAGGAAGAAGTAAGTAGAAAGAGGGACATAAGAAGATGGTGAAGAATAAACCTACATGGAAATGTTCAGTGAACTAAACTGAAAATAGATGCTTCCTGGTCATGAGCTGTAGCCTATGGGTGTACCAAAGCTTATTTTGGATTACAGTGGCGAATAATTTCAGTTCCCATTAAAGAATTAAATACAATTCTACATTAAATTGGTTTTGCATCAGGAGCTGGGAATTGAGAAAACGAACAATGAGAAGCAAAGGGGAGGAGGGGGGAGTTTATATTGCTGCTTTTAGAAAAGGTGGTTAAAAAAATATATATAAAGATGCTGTGCAGTATGGAAATAGTCCTGCGGATATGAGTATAATTCGGCTAGATTTAAAGCAGACTAATTAAAATCAATCTATCACATCTGTAGACTACTCAGAATGACTCTGGGCAACAGTCATATTAAAATCATAAATAATCAATACAGAAACTAAAACCTCAAAAAGGAAAAGATGCTCATAGAAAAAAGACAACGGATACGATCAAACAGCAACAGCCACAAACAGCAAAATCAACCCACAATGACTCTATACCATACCTTAGTCCAAATGGCTAAAGAAAGGTCCAGGCCTTAATGGTTCTCTAAAAGAGAGCAGAGTCAACGCTCTTCAGATTTCTGGGGGAATGCTGTTCAGTACTAGAAAAGGCCCACCTCCTGGGCTCCATCAGATGAATTGCTTTAATAGACAGCACTTGAACTATGCCAACTCTGTCAGATATTACAGGATGGGTAGACACTATAGGATCGTTGTGGCGAATCTATGGCACTCGTGCCACAGGTGGCATGCAGAGCCCTCTCTGTGGGCATGCGCGCCGTTGCCCCAGTCCTAGGCCTTCAGCTGGGTTTTATAAAACCTTTTCACTTTAGGCCTCCATCACCGTGTGCAAAAAAAAAAAAAAAGATTCAATTTCAACTTCTCGTGGGGAAAAAAAAGATCTCGCAAAGTTGGAATTGATTGATTGAATGTTGTAGTCCCACCCAGTCTGCCGTTACCACGGCAGCCACACCCACCCAATGGACCACACCCACCCAATGGGCCACGCCCACCCGGCACCCCACGATACATAAGTGGGTTTTGGATTGCTTTTTGGGCACTCGGTCTCTAAAAGGTTCGCCATCACTGCTATAAGAGAAAGATGGTCCCCCATGTAACAAGGTTGTA